TTTACTTATAACACTGAAAATACTGGAGCTGTTTTGATGAACAAAAAATTTAGAATAAAATTTTTGAGATTGTACTATTTCTGTCCTCCTTTTACAGATAAGGAAATTTTTAAACATGTCTAAGGACACAGAGATGGCAAAATGTCAGAGTTTACATATAAACCCAACTATCTTAACTCCAAAGCACAGGTCCTACAATTACACAATTGCTGATAATACATTTTAGTCTTACTTCAGCTCAGAAATTCAATCCAATTTATTTCTTTTTTTAAATTACACAATATATGGAAAGGTCTGATTCACACAGATAAGGAGTTATAAATGGTAACTTTTTTAAACAGCTTGGTCTGCAATCTCCAAATATTTCTAAATTAAACAGAAATGGCAGGTGAATCTTTAGTCCAAAATACAAGCAATAATGAATTAAGCGCAATAAAATAAATGCACTGGTGTTCTCTAATAATGTTATAACTACTAAGGAAGCAGACAGTTATGCCCCCTTTTCTAAATAAAGAAACTAAAGCATGGAAATGCTAAATACCTTGTCCAAAGTCACATTCCTGTAACTGACAGACCGTGGTGGTCCGACTCCAAAGATCGCTTCCCTTACCAGGATGTTGTGGGGCCTCTCTATTTTAGTACTCATTTATATGCATATATTGCTATTATTTTAGTTTTTAAATAGTTAAAACTGTGTTTTAAAAATGAAATTCAATAGATTCCGCTAACCACAGTTGGAAAACCAGTAGCCTGTGGATAGTAGAATATAATCTAAAATTTAGAAATTTAGAAATAATTTTGGGCTATTTTCTAAATTGTCAGTCTATCTAGTTTTCCAACAGTAAATATATATATGTGCATATATATTTCTATTAAAAACACAGATTCAAATCATCTCATTTAAAACGTTAAATAGAGGGAACATTTAACACACTTGAAATACACTAACTTGTATGGGAATAACTGTGTTTCTAGCACTCTGTAAAGTTAATGACCAATATTAAAAAGCTCATGCCTCCCCCAGATGTACATGTGAAGGCATTTCTGGGGTGCAGAGTCTTTACTACCTTAGCAACTCACTATGTGCTGCCAGTGACTCAAATATCTCAGGGAAAGAAAGCATTTGCAATTTTCAGAAATGTGATAGACCAGTAAGAAGATAGGGAAGCCGGCTACATTAATCTTGAAACAAAAGTCATGGTTCTTAATATGTGCTAAAGTTGTCAGGTTACAAAAATCTTACACGATTACTCCCACTATAACGTGCTTCTATATCTCCAAGATTGATGATGATAAAACATTTTTTAAAGTCTATGTTTTGCCTCAGGATAAAAAATTAGTTTTTTCTTAAGATGTAAAATGTACCCAAAGACAGACTACGAGTACTATCTCAAGAAGAGATGTATCTGTCACTAGCATGACAAAGTAAATTGTGACCCCTGCCCAAGCACTCAGTCATGCCGCATGTTGGCCTTGTTATTTTTCTAAGACATAGATCTGAGCATGTTACTCTCCAGTTCAAAATGCCTCTCTTGCTTTCCATTGCTTATAGAGCAGGTCCAGTTTTTCTTACCTCCACACTTCACGTCTTTCATAATTTATTCTTTTCATTTCACATTATTTATTAAGTGCCTGCTGAGTGATAGATACTTGTACTAATTTGTGGACATACAAAGATGAATAAAACAAAGGTTCTGCCCTCAAGGGGCTTACAGTCTAGGAAAGACAGCAAAGCAGCGTTACAGTGCAATATGATAAGTCCTCTGATAGAAATGTTCACCTAGTTCTAGGTGAGTAAAATTTGGCTTCAACCTTCCTTTCTAGCTACCTGTTTTTCCTCTTTATTTTTTTTTTATTGAAGTAACGTTGGTATATGACATTATATAAATTTCAGGTGTTCATTATTATATTTCAATTTTCGTATAGCCTGTATCATGCTAAAAAGTCTAGTTGCTATCCATCACCATACATATGTTCCCTTTTACCTTTTTCGTCCTCCCCCCACCCCCTCCCCTCTAGTAACCACCAATCTAGTCTCTGTATCTGTGTTAGTTTGGTTGTTGTTGTTTTATCTTCCACATATGAGTGAAAACCATATGATATTTGGCTAGTTTTGGCATCAGGGTAATATTGGCTTTGTAAAATGACTTAGGAAGTGTCCTGTCCTCTTCAATTTTTTGGAAGGGTTTGAGAAGGATAGGTATTAAATCTTCTTTGAATGTTTGGTAGAATATACCAGAGAAGCCATCTGGTCCTGGACTTCTGTTTTTGGGGAGGTTTTTGATTACTATTTCAATCTCCTTACTAGTGATTCTATTAATAATAGACTAGAGGTCTATTCAGATTCTCTGTTTCTTCTCGGTTCAGTTTTGGAAGGTTGTATGATTTCTTCTAGGTTATCCAATTTGTTGGCATATAGCTTTTCATAGTATTCTCTTATAATCCTTTATATTTCTGTGGTATCCATTGTAATTTCTTGTCGTTCATTTTGATTTTATTTATTTGAGCCTTGTCTCTTTTTTTCTTAGTGAGTCTAACTAAAGGTTTGTCAATTTTGGTTATCTTTTCAAAGAAGCAGTTCTTAGTTTCATTGATCATTTCTATTGTCTTTTTAGTCTCTGTTTCATTTATTTCTGCTCTGATTTTTATTATTTCCTTTCTTCTACTGATTTGGGGCTTCATTTGTTCTTTTTTTCTGATTCTTTTAGATTTATTGTTAGATTGTTTATTTGAGCTTTTTCTTGTTTCTTGAGGTAGGCCTATAATGCTATAAACTTCCCTCTTAGTACCGCTTTTGCTGTATCCCATAGATTTTGGTATGTCATGTTTTCATTTTCATTTGTCTCCAGGTATTTTTTCATTTCTCCTTTGGTTTCTTCATTGATCCAATAGTTCTTCAGTAACATTTTGTTTAATCTGCACATATTTGTGACTTTTCCAGTTTTCTTCTTGTAGTCGATTTCTAGTTTCATACCATTGTGGTCAGAAAAGATGCTTGATATTATTTCAGTCTTGTTAAATTTGTTGAAACTTGTTTTGTGGCCTAATATGTGATCTATCTTGGAGAATATTCCATGTGCATTCAAAAAGAATGTATATTCTGCTGTTTTTGGATGGAATGTTCTGTATATGTCTATTAAGTCCATTTGGTCTAATGTGTCATTTAAGGTCAATGTTTTCTTATTGATCTTCTGTTTGGATGATCTATTCATTGCTATAAGTGAGGTGTTAAAGTCCCTACTATTATTGTATTACTGTAAATTTCTCCTTTTATGTCTATTAATATTTGCTTTATGTATTTAGGTGCTCCTACGTTAGATGCATAGATATTTGCAAGTGTTACATCCTCTCATTGGATTGTTCCCTTTATCATTATGCAATGCCTTTCTTTGTCTCTTGTTGCAGTTTTTGTTTTAAAGTCTATTTTGTCAAGTGTAAGTATTGCTACCTCAGCTTTCTTTTCATTTCCATTTGCATGAAATATCTTTTTCCATCCCTTTACTTTCAGTCTGTGAGTGTCTTTGGATCTGAAGTGTGTCTCTTGTATGCAGCATATATATGGGTCTTGTTATTTATCCATTCAGCCACCCCATGTCTTTTGGTTGGAGCATTTGGTCCATTTACATTTAAAGTAATTATGGTAGGTATGTACTTGCCATTTTGTTCCTTTTTTTTCTTGATGTCTTTGTAGTTTTTCTCTGTTCCTTTCTTCTTCTCTTGCTCTCTTACCTTGTGATTTGATTCCTTTGTCTTTATTTTTGTGTATTTATTATAGGTTTTTGGTTTGTGGTTACCATGTGGTTCACATATGACAACCTAAGTATATAGCAATCTGTATTAAGTTGATGGTCTTTTAAGTTCAACCTCAAACTAAAATCCCTACAATTTTTTACTCACCCCCCACCAAGTTTTATGTTTTTGATATCATATTTTACGTCTTTTAGTTTTGTGTATCCCTTTACCTCTTATCATAGATATAGATGATTTTAGTACTTTTGTCTTTGACCTTCATGCTAGCTTTATAAATAGTTGATCCACTACTTTTACTATATATTTGCCTTTACCAGTGATTTTTTTCTTTGATAGTTTTCTTATTCCTATTTGTGACCTTTTCTTTACCACTTAAAGTCCCTTTAACATTTCTTGTAAGACCATTATAGTGGTGATGAACTCCTTTAGTTTTTGCTTATCTGGAAAATCTTTATCTCTCCTTCCATTCTGAACGATAACCTTGCCAGGTATAGTGTTCTTGGTTGTAGGCATTTTCCTTTCAGCACTTGGAATATATCATGCTACTCCTTTCTAGCCTGTAAGGTTTCTGCTGAAAAATCAGCTGATGGTCTTATGGGGCTTCCCTTGTATGTAACTTGTTGCTTTTTTTCTTGCAGCTTTTAAGATTCTCTCTTTATCTTTAATTCTCGACATTTTAATTATGATATGTCTCAGTGTGGGCCTCTTTGTGTTCATCTTGTTTGGTTGAACTATGCTTCCCATATGAGATGTCTGTTATCTTTCTCACATTAGGCAACTTTTCAGCTATTATTTCTTCAAATACATTCTTTGCCCATTTGTCTCTCTCTTCTCCTTTTGGGATACCTATAGTACAAATATTAGTACATTTGATGTTGTCCCAGAGGTGCCTTCAGCTGTCCTCATTCCTTCTAATTCTTTTTTCTTTTGTCTATTCAAGTTGGGTGATTTGCTCTACTCTGTAGTCCAGATCACTGATGTGTTCCTCTGTGTCATCTACTCTGCTGTTGATTCCCTTCAGTGAATTTTTTATTTTAATTATTGTATTCTTCGGCTCTGAATGGTTCTTTTTTATATTTTCTAATTCTTTGTTGAAGTTCTCACTCTGTTCATCTATTCTTCTCCCGAGTTCAATGAGCATCCTTATGACCATTACTTTATCAGATAGATTGTTTACCTCTGTTTTGTTTAGTTCTTTTTCTGAGGATTTGTCCTGTTCTTTTATTTGGAACATATTCCTCTGTCTTCTTATTTTGCCTACTTCTCTGTGCTTATTTCTATGTATTAGGTAGATCTGCTACATCTCCCAATATTGGAAATTTGGCCTTATGTAAGACATGTTTTATGGGACCCAGCAGCATACTCCCCTCTTATCACCCATACCAAATGCTGCAGGGGTGTCCCCTGTGTGCACTGTTTGTGCCCTTCTGTTTTGGCAGGCCCACTATTGCTGCAGGCATGTGAGTAGATGGGACTGGCCCCTGGGCTAGCTGGTTGCAAGGCCCAGCCACTTGCAGCTACTGTGGGCATGCTGTTGGGCAAAGCAGGCCTCTGGCACAGGCTGGCTATGTGGCCCAGCAGTGCACAACTGCCTCCGGTGTACTGGTGGGTGGGGCCGGCCCCTAGTATGGCTGGGTATGTGACCTGGCAGCATGGCTGTTGCAAGCTTGCTCTAGGGCAGGGCAGGCCTCCAGCAAGGCAGCACAGAACCCTTTCAGGCATTGATAGGGGGACAGACCCCTGTGTGGCTGGTTGTGAGGCCTGGCTGTGCAGCTCTGCTGTGGGCTTTCTAGTGAGCAAAGTGGGTCCCTGAGGCAGGCCACCTGTGCTGCCTGGCTGTGCCTGATTGCCTCGGATGCTCTAGTGGGCGTGGCAGGTCCCTGTGCTTACAGGCTAGAGGAAGGATTCCAAAATGGCATCTACTGGCGTCTGTGGCAGCATGGCTGAACTAGGTCACAAAAATGGCTGCCACCAGTGTCTCAGTCCCTGGGGTAGGGGGCCCAGCCACCTCCTTCCTCCCTGGGAGGCACTCCAAGCTTAGTAAGTGAGTTTCTTTTACCAATAGACTATGCACTTTTCTACCTGGTGTTTTTGTGCTGGTTTCCGGGCTGAGTGAGTCTGTGTATGGGCCCTTTAAGAGCAGGTTTTCCTTTCCCTGAAGTTCTATAGTTTTCCTGGCTGTATTCCCTGTTGTTTTTCAAAGCCAAGTGTTTTGGGGTCTCGTCTCTCTTGTGCTGGGTTTGAGGGCTGTCATGTCTAATTTGGAGCTTGAATCCCTTGCTCCTCTGGGAAAAGCTCCATACCTTTGAGATTGCTCCTGACCATGAAGGGCCCCAGCTAGGATGTGTTTTTTTCCCTCAGCAGGGCTGTATCTCTACCTCTTCTACCCTTCTCTCGGTTGTCCCTTGTTGTGGAGGTTCTTTTCATCCAGTTTCCAGATCTCTCTCAGAGGAAATTGTTCCACAGGTAGTTGTGGGTTTGTTGTGTCTGTGGGACGAGGTAAGCTCAGGATCCTCTTATGCCACCATCTTCCAAAAACTTTCCACTAGCTACATTTTCACCCCTCTCCCCACATCCACCAGCCACACGAGATCAATTTACATTTACCAAACGTGCGATCCACTTTTGGGCTTTAGCTCATTCTCTATCTGAAATGCCCTTCCCTGTGTCTATTGAAATCCTTTTAGGGCCAACTTCAAATAGCTCTTCTCAAGCATATAGTTTCTGATATAACAGAATTAATCACATCCACCTATATTCTCCCATAAAACCTCTCAAGGCAGGGGCCGGCCCGGTGGCGCAAGTGGTTAAGTGCGTGCATTCCGCTGCAGCGGCCTGGAGTTCGCTGGTTTGGATCCCGGGCGCACACCGTCGCACCACTTGTCAGGCCATGCTGTGGCGGCATCCCATATAAAGTAGAGGAAGATGGGCATGGATGTTGCCCAGGGCCAGTATTCCTCAGCAAAAAAAAAAAAAAAAAAAAGAGGAGGATTGGCAGATATTAGCTCAGGGCTGACCTTCCTCACAAAAAATAAAATAAAAAATAAAAAACCTCTCAAGACATTTTATCATAGTCTGCATTGAAATAGTTCATCTCTCCCCTAGTACAGTGCCCTGTGCAAAACAGACATTCAATAAACTTTTATACTGCTGAGTTTCCAAATAGCTGTTTTGTTTCTACTTTATTCTGTTTCCTTCAGTAAGATAAAACAGTATGTGGTCTATTAATTACTTTTTGCAACTAGCCTGAAGTCTAGTCACAAATAAATTAAAGCAGGTATGTGAAATATAGAAGGATGAGTGTTTCTAAAAGTTATTGAATAAAATGACAGTATAAATATTAGTATGAGGGTGTAATGGACACTGTTCATTTTCTACCAGTATACTATCCCCATTATTTCTTACTTCTTTCTTTAAATGACATCCTGTTTTGTTCAGGTAGCCAAACCCAGGCCATACAGAATTCCCATGGAAAGAATAATCCCCCTTGAAGATGAACTCACTTTAAAAAAAAGTATAAGCAGAAAGAAATGATCAACCATGAATGGCAGTTAGCAGACCCAAAAGATGGGTATATTGGCATCTCTTGGACATGAACTAATAGAACACTGTGAAAGAGATTCTAAAATAAATACACTTTAAATGAATAAAGAGCTAAAAGAAGTAATAGAAACCACAGGAAAGAACAAAATAATATGGGAAAAGAGACAGGTTTAAATAAAGACCATATGGAACTCCTAGAATGAAAAATAGAGTCATTAAAAATAGAATCAATGAAAAATATGCATAAGAGGGCAAGGAAAATGAAGGGTGGACTGAGAATGTTACGTATATTTCCGTATAAAAACTCCAAAATGAGAAACTAGAGAAAATGAGAGGTAGGGTTTAAAATACATAGATCATCGGATTGAGAAAGCACAGGTCTTAAGCAGGTTTATCAAAGATGAAGCCACACCTATAAAAGTTACAGTGAGAGGGCGAAACACCAAAGACAAAATGATGATAAAAGTAATCAAGAGAAAATATAAGGGAACAACAATTTGTCCAACAAAAGACTTCTCAACAGCCCTGAAGACCAGAAGGCAGTGGTATCATATCTTTAAGGTGCTCAGACAAATGAACTACGAACTTAGAATATTATAGCCACCTAAATTATCACTTAAGGGAGAGGGCAAACTCTAGATATTTTCAGGCCAAGACCAAGAGAGTTTACCACTCATAGATCATTGCTGGAGTAGTTACTAAAGCATATACTTTTATAAGAAGAACACTGAATTCAAAAGGAAGAAATGAGATGGAAGAAGTGATGGTGAGCCAAGAGATTGTTACACATGTGGAAAATCTAAATAAGCAGAGATAGATCAAGCAGAAAAACACTAGTAAGGATATGGAAGATTTGAGTAACTCCTAACAAGTTTGATTTAATGGGTATATGTGAGACCTCTACTTAATAAATGTAAGCATATGTAGAACAGTTATAAATGTCAACCATATGCTAGGCCACAAAGGAAGTCTCCACAAATATCAAAGAATCAACATCGTATAAACTTCATTCTTCGACCACATTGCGATGAAATTAGAAATTCTTTTAACAAAAGTCTGTTGCACACATACTACATGCCAGACGTTGTTCTGAGTATTCAGTGTACATTAATGAAAAACAGAAATAAGTTTTGACCTGCATGGAATTTAATTCTTTAAGGGGGAGGGAAAAGAGATATACAATAAACATAATAAATATAAGTATATGGTATGTGAGAAGGTTGTCAGTAATATGGGAGAAAAAAGAGTGAGCAGGATCAAGAATGCTAGTGGGAAAGGAGATGTAATTTTAAATAAGAGGTCAGGGTAAAGCTTATTGGGAATGTAACGTGAGTAAAGGCTTGGAAGAGATGACGACAAGTTATGGAAGAGATGACGACAAGTTAGCCGTGTGCGTAGCTGGGGAAAGAACATTGCAAGCAGATGCAACAGCCAGTCCTGAGAGTGCAGAGTGTGTGTTGTCTTCAAGGAATAGCAAGGAGGCCGGTTTAGCTAGAACCCCATGATTGAGGAGTCAAGTAGTAGGAGGTGAGATAAAAGAGGCAGTCCTCTTGCCACTCCCATCTCCCAAATCTATATATTTGGATACTAAATCAGACAAAAAACTTCCTAAATTAACTCAGGATCAGAGAAGAGAACATAATGGAAATTAGAATCAAACAAAATGAAAACACTGTTAAATTTGTGGGATGCAGCTATAACAGTTTTATAGGGAAATGTATAGCCTTAAATATATTTGTAAGAAAATAAGAAAGAGTACAAATTTATGAGCCAAACATTCTTCACCTCGAGAAGTTAGAAAAACAAAACAAAGAGAAATTAATGAAAGAAAAATAGTGAAGAAGTTTAACAAAAACAAAAGCTGGTTTTTTTGAAGTGACTAATAAAATACATAAATTCTGGAGATATTGATCAGGAAAGAAAAAGAATATGTTAAATGAAAAGGAGGACATAATCACGAATTCAGTGGAAATTTGAAAATCATAGAGAATAGCTCTAGGAAAACAAATTTGAAAACTTAGATGAAATGAGCAATCTTCTTGAAAAATATAAATTTCTAAAAAGTGATGTAGGAATAATAGAAAACATGAAAAGATATATTACCATGAAAGAAATTCGATCAGTAGTCAAAAAGATTCTGATAAAAGAATGAGTGAGAAAAAGAAAAAATGATGGTTGAATTTCAAAGGCAAGTTTTACCCAACTTAGTGAACAAACAACTCTCCTGGAATAATACTTATTTGATGAAATATATATATGTTATATGAATATATACGTATATGTGCGTATGTGTATTTTTTTTTACTGAATTCAATTTAACATGGTTTAATTTGAGATTTCTGCATATATGTTTATAAGTGAGATTCGTTTGTAATTTTCTTTTCTTATGTTCTTCTTGTCTATTTGGTATCAAAATTATATAAGTCTCAAGAGAAGTTGGGTACTTTTCTTTTTCATACTCTGAAATAGTTTATATAGCATAGGAGTTATTTGAGAGCATGAGAAAAATTTATAAACTTTATAAACTGATCTCACAAGCATATATGCGGAACCACCAAATTAAATATGTTCATATTGAATGCAGCAAAAAAAATAATATGTGCCTATATATACATATATATATATACCTATATATACATATATAGATTTTGATCAGAGCAGAAATTTTTCATGACCACTACTACATGATGCTATTGTCAAATATTGGTAATATAAAATATTTTGGTTTTATTTGTTTTACAATTAATCTTTCCTATATCTTAAACTTTCTTATCAATATGTTGTTTTCAGTATTAATATGAAAAAACTTTATGAAAGAGAAAGTGAGGATTTTCTACTTTTTTTTCACTATCCATTGCCTAACCTGAATGTCAGAGCAATGCTCCATGAATGTAGTAACATTCCCTTTCGCTGAACCATCTTTTCCTCTTCCTTGGCTCTTGCAAGGCTAACGACTGCAGACCAAACCCAGCAAAGAGCATGAGGGAAGTAGTCACAATTGGAGCAACGGCAGCAACATTACCAGGTCCTCAGTAACACTAGGAATTGTCCTCACTGAAGGCCAAGGGGAAAAAGCGGAAACCGGCAACTCAGTCGAATGGGCTCTGTAGTGGACATCTATTTTTTCTGCCTGGCATCCATATCTTCTTCTTGCGGCCACAGTATCCAGATTTTGCTTGGGAGACCAACCTGCCCCTGTACTTCTGATGAAGTGACTTTATTGCAAAGCCCTGGAATTAAATCTCATGGGTCCTAACTAGCCAGTTCTGGGGTTTTGGTTGTAGCACTCAGGACACTGTGTTCCTTTTTCCCACAGCACTCAGAGCTGCTGAAAACTATCTGGCAACTAGGAGGGAAGAGTCTACCTGGGAATAAAGCCAAATTTGGGAAACAAACCTGAGAAATGGAGAAGGAGAACTGGTTGCTAGTGACATGGGTTGAGGCCTGGATTAATGAGTACCTGAAGCTACCTCTGTACTAACTGTTGTGTTACAAAAGCCAATAAATTCCCTTGTGTTGCTTAAGCCAGTTAATGTTGGAAATTCTGTCACTTGCAACCAAAGTATCCTGATTCCAACACCACTCTGAAATTTAAGCTATGCCCCCATCACCTGCTCACCCCAGTTAAGTTATCCTTTAGAGTCAATTGGTGTTTTTACCCCTACCAAAACACTGAATGGCTCTCCTTTACACTGGGTTGGGGAGTGACGGGGAGTAGAAGAGGGGCAACACGTGGAGCAGTTATGCTGTTCTTGCTTTCTCTTTGCTGAAATTTCCACTGGTTATCTCCGCCTAACCTAGTCTGATGGATGTTCAGAGTGCCTTGGGGCTGGGAAAGGGCCTTGAGGAGGGAGCCCTGCTGTTGGAGATGAAACTCACCGTTACTGCCAGCCCCAGCATTGCAGCGGTGACTTCTTCTTGTTACCCTTCAGCACCCTCTGCACCCTCATTGCCCCATTTTCAGAAAAGCATAATGGAAGAATTTCGTGTGTAAATTAAATAAAACACCAGAATATCTTCCATCCACAGTGAAAATAAATTCAACAGAAACTACTCAAATTTATAGTAATTATCATTATACAGTTCAGCAGTTTTACCTCAAAAATATTGAGTATAAATGGTTACAAGTAAGGTGGAATTAGTTTAGTATTAATAAACAGCCTAGTACCTTTACTCAATAGGAGTTCTAATTTTTAATCTGTCGTTTTTTTATCTTATGTTTTTCTCTCTTATGTTTACAAGTTCTCACCTAATTTTAACCTGTTAGCACCATTAAGGACATGTAATGGCTGTCATAAGCCATTATGGTAAACATATAAAGTTTATTCATTTCTCTGAAAAATTAAATAGATCTTTTTCTACTTTCACAGAGTTGCATATAATCCTTTACCTTAGGGCGGAGGACTCAGGAGGAAGTATTAAAAAGAAATAAAGTCTTATGTTAGATGGGAAGAAGTTATACTTTTATGTTGGGGAGGCTGTGGGACCATTCCTTTAAGTAGACCTAATTCTGATGGGGATTTGTTTGACTTTGGGTTAATCACCTGCAGTTACTGCGAGAGGCAGGCCCCAATTATAAATTGATGATGGGATCTGCAGAGAAAGTAGATAGAGATTCCTGAATACACACCGAATGGAGCAGCATCTCCTGAGGAATAGTCAGAGGAAAGTTGCCACTGGAGTATGTAGTATTTGTATTTAATTTGTCTTTACTGCAGTTACTCTGTTTATGTAGTTATTCTATACTCTGTTGTGCTCAGAGATCTCTTTGGGCTACCACACCTATGCCAATCTTGGATAGACAGTTACCCTGATGGCACTGGAAAGGCCATGAGGGTAGCTACTGCTTTTTCTAAGGTATAAATTCAGAATGAACTCTTTTAGGCAACAGTTTTTCTGTTAAACACTACTATATTTCAGCAGGGCATACTAAAATAGAATGTGATCATCAAGGATCTTATCATTCTTGCTTTTTTTGTTGGGCTTGGAGACAAGGACATTTTTGCAGCAGTAAAGTGGGGAGGGAAGTTGGCTGTTTCCCTAGGAGCAAGAAGGGCCTTTCCCAGGACTTTCTTGGGACATCACTTTGTTGCACAAAATTGGCAATATGAACTCTGTGTTGATAAGAAAATATTAGATTCACATCTTATTATCTGACAGTAGGTTAATGTGAAAAATACTATATCATGAAGAATGTATTTCACAATATTCTAACAGATGCTGCTAGTATAATAGCCTAATGCAGCAAATGCACCAAATGTGCTTGAGCATGTTTTTGACACTGTTTTCATAAGTGATGATATATCCTAATTGAAATTACTAAAATTATGTTTTCTCCTCCAACTGTCATGAAAACATACCAAACTATGTCTTTTGTGTACCCATGATTTAGGAATATAAGATGTATATTCCTTTTGACTTTCTCCTCTGTGGTTTAGAGTTAGATTTGAAAATATGAGATTTTTCCCTCTGAATATTCGTCCAGTGAGTTAATTCAGTGCCCAGCTATGTATGAATTCTCCTTAAACACTTACATAGCCAACAGTAGGTTCAAACTTGAAGATTTGGAGAAAACATTTTTAGATTTTGTGAATCTAAATATCTAAATCTAAAATTTTTCAAGTCTGAAAATCTGTTATAGAAAATAGTGTTATAGTCTTTTTTTTTTTTAAACTCATGGAGTGAATCCCTTTAGGAATCTTCAAAGAAAGTCCTAAATATTTATTTTTATCATTGAATATTAATTAGTGTATATTGTATCCTTGTATTATGTAATTCTTACATTAAACCTTGTTTCTTGTGAAACCCAGCACACATTAGAAAAGTGTAAAAAACAGAAATGTACAACTCATGTAACTACCATCCATGTCAAGAAACAAAATGTTACCAGTACCCCCAGAAGCCCCCATCCTGCCCTTCCCAATCACTATTCTTCTTCTCCTCACCCTAGAGTTAACCACAATTTTGACTTTTATATTATTCACTTTCTTGCTTTCTTTATAGTTTTACCACTATTCATGCATCTGAAATACTTTGGCTTAGTTGTTTTTTTTTTTTTAATAATTTTATTTATTTATTTATTTATTTATTTTTTCCCCCAAAGCCCCAGTAGATAGTTGTATGTCATAGCTGCACATCCTTCCAGTTGCTGTATGTGGGCCGCAACTCCAGCATGGCAGGAGAAGTGGTGCGTCGGTACACGTCCGGGATCCGAACCCGGGCCGCCAGCAGCAGAGCGCGCGCACTCAACCGCTAAGCCACAGGGCCGGCCCACTTTAGCTTAGTTTTGCCTGGTCTTTGTTTGGTTTTTGTTTTGTTGTTGTTGTTAGTTTTGAAATTTACGTAAATGGAATCATACCACTAAGTATCCTTTTACCTTCAGCATTTTTCACTCAAAGTCATGGTTGTAAATGTAGTTATAATTAGTTTTAATTGCTGTATAGTATATATATACTGTATGTACAGCATAGTTGCTGTATTGTATTAACTCACCACAAATTATCCGTTCTGCTGTTTGGGGCCATTATGAATAATGCAGCTATGGACATTCTTTCATATGTCTCTTGATAAACACTGCACATATTTCTGATAGATATATACATAGGAATGGAATTGCCAGGTCATAAGATATATGTATTTTTAATGTCTTTAAAAGCCGTATCACTTTACACTCCAACCAGAGGAATATGATAGTTCCCATTGTTCTGTGTCCTCACCATACTATTGTTTTAGCCCGTCTGTTTGTTGAGTAGTGTTACCTCATGGTTTTAATTTCCATTTCCTTGATTACTAATGAAGTTGAGCATCATTTCATATATTTATTGGTCATTTTTTTGTGAAATTACTGGTTCAAGTGTCTGGCTGTTTTTATATTGTGTCATCTTTTTCTTATTGATTTATAGGTGCTCTTTACATATTCTAAATTAGAGATAAATATGGACTGTATGTGTTGCAGACCTCTTCTCCCACTTGTTTGGTTGCCTTTTCGCCATCATAAAAGTCTCCGTGAAGCTCAGAAATTCGTAATTTTAATGTTGTTGGATTCACCAAACTTTTCCTTTACAATTAATGCTTTTGTGTCCTTTTTAGGAAGTCTTTCCCTACCCTGAGATCATGACTATAGTCCCTTATGTTAACGTATAGATTTATCATTTTAGCTTTTATATTTAGATCCAGAATTGAGTTTTTGGTGTGTTTTGAGGCAGGGGTTAATTTTTATTTATTTCTGTATGAATAACCAGTTGTCCTAGCACTACTTATTAAAAATATTATCCTTTCCTTACTGCTTTCTAGTTCCACGTTTGTTGTAAATTAAGTGTCTATATATGCATAGGTGGGTTCTCTATTCTCTTAGTCTGTTTTACATTGTTTTTGTCTCATTGTCTTAAATAATGTAGCTTTATAATAAATTTTGATACTCAGTAGAGCAGGCCCTCCTACTTTGTATTTTATTTTATTTTGTTATTTTTATTGTGGTAAAAACATTTAATGTGATAACTACCCTTTAACAAATTTTTAAGTGTACAATACAGTATTGTTAACTATAGGCGCTATGTTGTACCGCAGATCCCTAGTGCTTATTTATCTTACATAACTGAAACCTGATTCCCATTGAACAACAATGCTTCATTCCCCACTCCTCCCAGCCCCTAGCAACCACCACTCTACTCTCTGCTTCTGTGAGTGTGACTGTTTTAGATATCTCATACAAGTGGAATCGTGCAATATTTGTCTGTGACTGGCTTATTTTACTTAGCACAATGTCCTCCAGGTTCATCCATATTGTCACATATGGCAGGATTTCCTTCTTTTTTAAGGCTGAATAATATTTCATTGTGTGTGTATGTGTGTGTATATATATATATGTATACCACATACATTTTAGAATTAGCTTGTCAAGCTCTATAGAGAAACCTGTTGAGATTTTGATTGTGATTGCATTTAATCTATAGATCAATTTGGGGAGAATATTACAAAATTAAGCCTTCTATTACATTAACATAGTATATCTATGTAGTACTTTTAAATTTCTTTCCATAATAGTCATAGTCTTCTGTATAGAGGTTTTGCATATCATTTGTTACATTTATTCCTAGATATTTTATATTTTATGCTTTAATAAATGCTATTTTATATAAATTTTATTTAGATTTGTTACTGGAATATAGCAATGTATGAATTTTAAAATTTTACCTTTGTATGCAACTGTAATTCATCTGTGGACTTGTTTCGATGTCATGTGTATGTAATTATATGACCTGCACATAAGGACAGTTTTATCTCCTCCCCTTCCAAATCATTATACCTTTTATTTCATTTTCTTGCCTTTAGTAAGGCTAGGACTTTGACTGGCTGGGATCTCCACTACAGTGTTGACTAGAAGTGATAACAGATGGTATCATTGGCACATCCCCAATTTCAAAGGGGAAACATTAAAAAAATTTTTTCTATTATATGTAATGTTACATGTCACTAGATTTGGTTTGCTATTCATTTAGAGTTTTGAATCTAAGTTCATAAATAAGAAAATCCTATAAATTTTTTATAATGTCCTTGTCAGGTTGTGGTTTTAAGGTTTTGCTAGATTCTTAAAGGAAACTGGAGAATGTTTCCTTTTTCCCTACTGTCTAGGAGGGTTTGCATAAGACTAGCATTATTAATTAGAATTCACTAGTGAAACTATGTAGCTAAAGTTTTTAGTCTTGTTTCTTATTTGTTTTGGAAAAGTTTTTAATTACAAATTGAATTTCCTTAATAAGATTTCAGATATTCTATTTCTTCTTGTGTCAGTTTTGCTTAGTTGTAGTGTTCAAGGAATATGTCCATTTCATCAAAGTTTCAAATTTGTTGGAAGAAAGCCATTCATACTATCCTTTTATCTTTTCATGGTCTATATAATATAGACCATCGCCTTTTTCATTCCTGATATTTATTACTTGTGCCTTCTCTCTTTTTTTCTTAATTGGACTCTTCAATGTTTATCTATTTGTATTAGATAAACATTTGTATTAGTCATTCAAATAACTTATTTTCATTATCAATTACCCTTGGGTTACTTAGAAACGTATCCTTAATTTCCAAATATATAGGGATCTTTTTTCTTCAATAGAAGATAGTTTGGATTTCTAGCTGATTAAAAAGCATATTATGAGTGATTTCCATCATATGAAATTCATTGCTATTTGCTTTATTTTCGTAAATATTTTTGTAAAAATTCCACCGCGTGCTTGAGAACAATGTATGTTCTGTAGTTGTAGGGTATGGTGTTCTACATATTACCATTAGGTCAATTTTGTTTATTGTGATATTCAAATCGTTTACATTCTTACTGTATTTATATGTCTGCTTGTTTGGTCAGTTAGTGAAAGAAGTGTGCTGAAGTCCCCACTGGTTGTGGACTATTTCTCTTTCTAGTTATGGCAGTTTTTCCTTTTGATATTTTGAGCCCATGTTCATGTTATTATTAAATGCATGCAAATTTGGAATTATTTTATCTTCCTGGTAAATTGAAAGTTTTATCATTACTGAGTGTACCACTTTATCTCTAGTAATGGTTATTGCCTTAGAGCTAACCTTGACTGATAGTCATGTAGCTACACTAATTTCTTTTTGGTTGTTATTTGTATGGTAAATATTTTCTCATCCTTTTCTTTTCAACTTTCTGTATCTCATTGTTTTACAACTTTCTGTATCACAGTGTTTTACATATTGATTTATAAATGGCAGATAGTTTTGTCTTGTTTATTTAATCAAAGTGTGTTCATCTTTGTCTTTGAAGGCACAGTTAATACATTTACATTTAATGTAATTGAGGCTAAATCTGTGTCAGTATTTTAAGAATAAGTCTTTAAATGACAATTTTTCACATTTAGAGAATAGTTCATTACCATCTATGAGTTTAAGAAATTTATCTTCTCTGATTTGTATATAAATATGCAGGGATATATGGAACCTTCTCATCTCCTATTATTTCTTTGACTGCTGTATAATGCAAAGAGATCCAGGAACTAAAATATGCTAAGAACAACATTTCTAATCTAGTGTTTTGGGAATTTTGCTTGCAAGTCTTGTCTTTATTATGATTCACCTACCTACTTCCAATAAACACAGCATTAACAATGTATCTCTTAATATATCTTTTTTACAAAATACTATCAAGATTTCATTTTTGATTACAGGGCTGTGGCTCCCAAATGAGCATGTCAGAAATGTCCTGTAGTGAAAGTACATCCTCATGTCAGTCTCTTGAACATGGCTCGGTTCCAGAAATTCTCATTGGCCTGCTTTATAATGCCACAACTGGAAGACTATCAGCAGAAGTGATAAAAGGCAGCCACTTCAAAAACTTGGCAGCAAACAGACCACCCAGTGAGTGAAAAAAATTTTTTTAATTCTAATGCTTTCTGTATTTACGAGACTCTTAGTGTTAAGGGCTTCAATTCTATCAGTTAGTCTTAACCAATCAAAATGAAATGGTGTAATCGTCAGCTAATCTGTTTCATGTTTTCTATTTCCAGTCATTTGGAAAGTAGAAAAATTTGAAATTCAAGATATTAATTGTAAGGTGACAAGACGTTTAATTTTTCTTAGTGTCTGCAGAATAAATTATCCTTACCATAGCCATTATCTTCTAATGCTGGAAAATGTTACAGGGTTTTTTAAAGTTAATAGTATTCCGCAAATATGATCAGGAATATGTATAGCTATTGTTGTTAACTGAAGGTGCTGTTGTGTTTTCTGTCTGCATGCAGTACTATGAACTAATGTATATACTTCTGTTATTTTTCCTTTTCTCCCTTAACAATTTAAGAAACTGTTTCTTCACATTTTTCCTCCTTTAAAATTATAAATCAGTACTGCCAGCAGTCTTTTCTTAAATGGACTGTGCTTTGCCTTTACCAGGACAAACAGAATAAGTAATAGTTTGATATTTATCCTAGATGTGAAGAGGAGAGAGCTAGATGGTATCCCTCTGCCCTGTCTGTGCTTCTCCTTCTCTCTCCTCTCTCTCCCAGCTCAGGGAGGTAGGGGTAGGTTATAGGAGTACAGAGAAGTTATTGCCCAATATACCTCCAAAACTGTTGTTGGGAAGGTAGCAGCTTCTTTATACTTCTCTAAAATTATAGCTGTTAATGCCCTAAACTAAAAATTTGAAAGGAAATCTTGAGTAATAATGGCCACCTTAAATTTGTTTAAAGATTTCTCACAGACTTGCTTGATAGAACTTTTACTTCAAGTATCAATTTATTAAAGGAGGGGAAACTTTTTCCACCCTTGAGTTAAATTAACTTTACTTCTAAATGTCCTAAAAATTCTTTTTTCAATCAAAATGAAAAGTCATAACAATATATTTGGTTTGCCCTAACTAGTCTTAGAAACCTTGCTTCTTACATCATGGAATATTATCTATCCCTGAATTAAAAGCAGAAGGCCAAGATTATGTTTATATTTCTACCCTTGGATAAGTGACCTAACTCCCCTAAGTCTGTTTCCTTATGCATAAAATTAAGGTGTCTCTCTCACAGGGTAACTGTGAGACTCAAATCAGATAAAGGTGCATAAAAGAAGGATGGAATTATGGATGGATGGAATTTCTCCTTTCAGAAGGAAAAATACAGAGGGAGGAAGGAGCAATTACTAGAGTAAACAGCTTTGGAAGTATAACTTGGTTATCTTCATTAATACACACTTATAATGCAAACTCAAATGGCCTGGGAAGTAACTTAAATGAGCAAAATTTGTAGGTGAAAGACAAGGAGCATGGTGAGGCCTGTGACAAATGCAAGTGCGTGCCCTGCGTTAGACATTCAGATTCAAAAATTTTGGAACACTGTAACAGATAAACAAAATATTATTTGGGGTTACATTTAGCCACAGGCTATCAGTTTGCCATTCCTGCTTTAGCTAATCATTTAGTTTTTTGACAGCTATTTAATTTGAGGTGCTAAAAAGTAGCAGAATGAAATATGTTTGATTTTCTGTCCTTGCTGTACCCACTCTGATAGAAACAGAGAAACACTAATCAGAACTAAACTGAAGAGAGAGAGTGGAGGCAGGGGCAGATAATAAACAGGTTAAAAGAGATTAGCATCCACAACGTAGAGTAGATCTTTTAGGTTAAAAAATAGGTTATAGCAATTTCCATTATTTTATAATTGGATCTTCAGTATCAGGATGGTTAATGGTGTTAGCTGGGAGGTAGCATTAAAATTAATTCTATGAAGTGGAGTATTTATAAAGTAAAATATAAGACAGTTTTATCAGTTTGTCTTATACTGTTTATGTTATATAAGATTGTGACCCTTCGTAAATACCTAGATTCTAAGCTTTGAACTGTGATACAGACTGAATTATCCAGTTTTTATCTAAAGAAACAATGGCAACATTCATGAGCAAAAATTTTGATAGTTCTATTTTAGTTTGCATAACTTAATTTTCCATTACATTGGAAGTAATAAAAATATTTGAAATATTAAATATTGCGTGGATAAACTTAAAAATGTAGCATAACAATAATGATCCTGTAATGACTTCTGTTCAATCTTTTATAATCTGATAATTTGCATGATTCTATGTTCAATGTGCTTTAGACCAAGAGGATATCATTATAAAGATGTCCCCTTTAAAACAGTATAATATTTGTTTAAGATTGCACAATGACCTTAAAAATTCTCATTCCATGAAATTTACCCAACAACCTTTTTGTTCAATCCTCTACCTGAATTAAAATGCGAAAGTTTTGTGTTCTTCCACTCCAGTGAACAGTGTTTCCTCTTTAATTCTAACCTTTGACCCTCTTTCACCCAACAATTGACATCTGGTCATTATTTCTTTTACTGCTTTCCACCCCCTGTTGTCAGATGGACTGTTCTGTTGTCTAAAACACTTGATAGGTGGACAGGTTTATATAATCCGAGGTGAGTTCCTGTAGAGGCTAATTGGATGTTGTCTTTTCATGCAAAAACAAAATACCCTAAAACTTGCCAGCAGTGAAGCTGTCCACCATGTTGGTTTCCAAAAAAATGCACATTTATTATCTGTGGTACTTGAAATAAAACTAACTTAGAATTTATCTCTGATTATGGATGATGGTATTCAGAGTATCTATAAAATAAGCAAAAGTTTTTTAAATCAAAGGTTTTATTTTTTCATTCATTGTGTTTTGATTCATACAACAGAATTAGATATTTTATGCAAAATATTGCAATTTTTGTTAAAATTAATTGAAATTTTGATCTGAAGTACACATGATGGATCAACATGCTGAAGATCATTTGCATGAGTCTAAAGAACTTGAAAACAGTTGTTTGAAGAGAGGGTTTATCTCCCAAATAATCAGGCGATGACTGTTATGTTTCACTTTGTACACTAAACATCACATCGATTTTTTTTATAATTCATGAAAACAGTTGATACCATACTTAAAATTTCACATTAAATTGTGCCAAAAGGGAATCCTATAGTATTTATTTTAACTATCCAAAAAGCACATTAAATGTACTCTTGCATGAAACCAGGAGAAAGTTGTACTTGATTTGCTAAACTCTGAGCCCTTAATGCATTTGGCTTCATTATGGCCCTTAAATGTTTTAAAAATATATTTAAAAACCACATCCATGCAGAGATTTTTTTGACATTTCATCCTAAGCTGTTTTGATGTCATCTTTGCATTCTTGTCTTCTTTTCCTCTTTACCATTTGCCTTCATTTCTATTTGTTTGTTTATTCTTATTCTCTGAAAACACAGTGGAATGCTTTACAGTGTTGTGGCTAATTGAGCTTGCTAAGTGTTTATTAATGCTATGACGTCCTGCTTAGTGAAGCTAAATGGGGATGGGGATGGGCGAGGGGGCGGGGGAGTGGGAGGTCAAGGATGGGGGTGGGAGGGTGGAGGAAGGATTATGAGGTATACCTTTAAATTCTAACTGTAATGTAGAAATAGTGAGGTTAAGATATTATTACCCCCAAAAGATTTTCTGCCTGCTTAGTATTCTCTTTACTTGTCACATTTTATAAGCATCTACCTCAAAATGGAATTAGTTGAATTTCCATTAAACATGGTATACACCATATCCTTATAGAGTATACTTAATCTTCTCAGCAGATGTTACAAGAAAGATGTTTTGAGTTTGTTTCAAATGATATGTGTGGTATGTTGTTGTTTTTTTCTGTAGATACATATGTTAAATTAACTCTACTGAATTCCATGGGTCAAGAGATGTCCAAATGCAAGACATCCATCCGCAGAGGGCAGCCAAATCCAGTGTACAAGGAAACTTTTGTTTTTCAAGTGGCCCTATTTCAACTTTCTGACGTGACACTCATACTGTCTGTGTATAACAAACGAAGCATGAAAAGAAAAGAGATGATAGGCTGGATTTCTTTAGGTCTGAACAGCTCTGGAGAAGAGGAGCTCAATCACTGGACTGAAATGAAAGAGTCGAAAGGACAGCAAGTGTGTAGATGGCACGCGTTGCTAGAGTCGTGATGGATAGGATAAACGAGCAATTACCAGCCAAGGCAGCGTTATTTCTGATCACAACATTACTGTTTTTACCTAGTCACCGTTAGAAGAGCTGTTCTTTGAAGAATCGTCTTCAACATTCTATAAAAAAGCTTTAAATTCTGTGGAAATAACGTCTAATACTGACATAAATGAAGGAAAAAAATGTCTCTGGTAGAGCTTGTTTGGGAAAATGAGAAATGTGTCTCATCCTTGTTAAACCAACAATCCTCCAGAGCTTTAAGAACACGCTTTTGGTTTGAAGTTAGTTTTACTTTAGCAAAAGAGCCAGTAATTTCATGAAAAACAAAAATTAAAAATGATTTTTAAAAAATCAGAATTTTTAGTTGCAACACTATTTATCACCCCACAAATTATCCATAAAACGTATTTCGACTGGCTCGTCCCTGGTGTTTGTAATGTTCTTTCATACAGGAAAGTAGTTCTCCAGCTCTATCATAAGTCATATCTATGCTGAAGGGTTTCAGTCACATTGAAAATTGTTTTATGTCAGATATTTCCCCCTTGTGCACTTAGTTTCATTGTGCCTCAGTTCTTCTCAGCACTAAATCTAAGTGCAAGCAAGTATTCATTTTCATACAGGAATTTCTTTTATATGTTATTTTTAAAAAAGGCTCATTTCTTCATTTGCCTCTGCTTTTGCCTGATCCAAAGAGACCGAGTCACTGGGCTGGTCCTTTGCAAGTCTTTTAGACAGGTTGTACTGTAGAACTCTGTAACTTTCTGTTGAAAGCACTTCCTGTATCCTCGTATTCCAATGTAGGAAGCTAATAGAGCAGGACTTTACTTTAAAATTTCTTTGAATGATTGACTCCTTACAATTGTAGTAATGTGAAAATACATTTTTTACAAACTAAAAAATATAGTAGATAAGCTGTTGAAAATTGAAAACAACTCAAGTTAAAGACTGTTTTAATTATCTGCTCCGAGTATTTAGTAACCAACACTGCATAAAGCAGGTAGCATTCACATAAGAAACTGTGCTCTCTCTAAATCTTCTTCACTCTTACTTCAATTTGTATTTGTAATATAAAGACTCTCCAGTACTCAGTTTGAATCAGAACATCATGTTCAAAACAGTTTTGAGATTCCTTATGAAGTTTCTAGTGACTTGTGACTAGATTTTATGAAATTTAAGGATACGTTCTTCAACGTGGTGTCATCCTGTGCCTTTCATGTAAGTTAAATTTGCTTATACAGCTTGAAAGTTGTATTTGCAAAATTAGGCCTTCGATTTTTATAAATGTAAAGATTCCTCAGAACAGTGTCACAACATCTTTATTTCCTCTGAAGTATGTAAAAGTTGTATAATGTGCTAATTCTTTAAAATGGCAAGGCATTTTCATTTGTTGTTTTTATATTTAGGAACTCTGATTAATCAGGAAAATTATAAGCTGTCTTCTTTTTAATTTTGCTTCTTACCCAATATATAATTTTATGCATATACTTTATTAAATAGAATGTTTTGTATATATGAAACATATTTTTTTCTTTCTAATTTCTAGTTAAACTAGAGAAAAACATACTATTTACCAATTACTAAAAAGCATATCATTGTTCCTAGTCCCAACTAAGTACTATACATTATTGTATGCTAGCAAAGCTAGAACTTGTCATTACTGTAATAACAAAACCAGGCACAGCTATTATTACTTCAGCTTGGCTGTACTGAAAGGCCTTAAAGGAAATCCAAAAGTGAACTCCTAATATTTTTTAGTTTAAAAAGTGGCAGCTCTATGCATTCATACACATGAATTACAAGACAAAACACAAATGCTATCTTGGGTGATGTGAGGTTTAAGAATGTATGTTTATAGAGTTATGTTAAAGGGAAGAATGCATTCTTTTATTGTTACATTAATGAGCTTTTCCCAGGGTTTTTTATAAATGAGTTAGGTTATTAAGGTAGAACATGAATCAAATGGCAAAATATCTCATGTAAGTATTTTCGGCAACAGTATGTATGTAGTATGGAAAGAGATTTAAAGGGAGGATGTAGATTTTACTGAGAAATTGGATTTATGCATTTGATGCTACAAGTATCTTTTCTGGCTTTGAAACAACTGACTGCATTGCTAACAACTGGGATCTTCCTAATAAAAAGAGTCATCAGTCTTATTTGTAGCTGTAACAAAGCCTAATCAAACACATTACAAGACCAGCTTGGTGCTTTCTCCTTCAGTGAAGAAAACTAGCTGCTGTTTGTTAAGTGTTTCTTCAGACTATGCCTAGAATTGTGGGTGTGCTGTAATACATCTTTAATGGTTTATCTAAGTATCAAATCCACTATGGCCTAAAGATTAATCAATGATTTTTAAAAAATTTCAAGAAAGACCCTACCTCCACCCCAGCTGCCAAATCCTCAAAGATTATGAATTATGTGTATGTGTACCTGTATACACACACATGCCTACACACACACACCCCATATATATATATATATGTATTGTGTACACAATATATACACACACACAATACATATATATATATACACACACACACACATATATGTACACACACATATATATATATATGTAAAGGTGAAGGTGCCCTGGCTTTTTCAGATAACTAAATAGAAAAGCATTTGTCAAGTTTATGGATTATTTTTCTCCTCTATATATGTACTAGAGATTATATTTGGTTTTGGGTGCTGTTTGTGGCCATTCTCTTCCATACACAGCAAAATATATATCTTTTTATTCTGTGGATTGACACAACTAAGAGTAATTACTCTCCAAAATTTGTCTATTCTTTTAGAACCAGATTAAATAGGGCTCAAGAGACCCACTTCACTCGACTAAATCTAATGTACAAGACAATACTACTGCTCTTTTGTGTGCTTGAATTTGCATGAAAGCTTACAGGCAAAATCTTACATCTCAGTAATTATAGCAAATAAGGGCCCACTGGTGGGCAGCAGGTGTTGTCTCAGAAACTTGAGAAAGACAACACACTTTCTTATTCTCTTAAAATCCCCTAAGTTTTATAATAAAATGAGATAGTCCAAATATGGCAATTGACTGGCATTCATGGGAGCTCCTGAGCCTGGAATTACAGGCTTTATTTGTCTCCCAAATGAGCTGCAAAATGTAGTTGTTTATTACTCTCCAAGAAACAAAGTGTATTTCCAATCTGTAAAGAATTTGTTTAGTATAATACCTTCTTACCTTTCAGAAACTTTCCTCTATAATCTTGTCTTCTGTACTATCCACATTTTACGTGAAATCCATTTGCATATTTTCCTACTATGCATTCAGTGAATTCTCAAGAATGTTGTATTTAATGACAAAAATAATAAATTGGACCACAATTTAAAACAAGAAAAACCAATGAGAAAATATCTAAACTACCCTTATTAATATACACATATTTAAGTATAGGGCCTGGTATAGCGGTTTCATCCCACTTAGTGCAGAAACCCAGGGCTATATGTTAAATCATTTTCTTGACACCATCATCATTTTCATTTCACTCATCAAGTCAACCAGAAGCGTAATCAATGATTGCAAAATAAGATAGCAGTAGGCGAGGAGGTCATAGAATTGAGAGTGTTCTTCAAGATGAAGATGGAGACCAAATGATATCAGAGTTTTTCAAGTGAACTGAGAGATAGGCTATTTGAAGGCGTAAATTTTAGATGAAGTAAGAACAGTATTCACCAACAAATTTTTTTCAAGGTCTCTATCCAAATATGAATTGAAATGACACAAATCCACTTGCATAAAATTGCCATTAACTAGATAGTTAATTCATAGAGATTTTTCTCATTGATAGTTATTATTTCACATGGATAGTTATTATTCGAAAGTTTTCATTTCTATTTTTTTTACATTCACCATCCCCAATTCACCAATGGCCTACACTAGAGGTGGCCATCAGTATCATCATCACCAGCCAAACTCAATATTGAGCCACGGTTAAACATGCTACGAAGAATTTTTTTCAATTAACTCAAAAAAACATCATCTGTGCCCACCAAAATGTGTAATAATGATGATGCTAACTACTACAATTTACTAAGATCTAGCACAAGAATTTACAATTTTGATTGATTCTCACAGCACTATGAAGTAAGTAATATTATCAACATTTTATAGATGAAAAAACTGCAGCATAGATGCTAAGCAGACTTGCCCAAGGTCATCCAGTAAGTAAGTAGTAGAACTGGGATTAGAACCCAGGTATAAATTACTCTAAAACCTATACTATGCATATTGCAGCTGCATCCCTCTTTACTGGTTGCAAGAAAAACAGTCAAAATATTATATTCATTAATAATCCCAGCCACCTTAATTGAATGACAGAACTAGAAAAAGAAAAGGAAAAAACAATCAGAGCTTGGGAAAGAGAAATAACAAGACAAAGAAGATCAGAGATTTTTTTTCTCTTCAGGACACAAATGGTACTTTTGTGCCATACTTTGTAGATGACTTTGATTTTCAAAGATGTGGGGATTAATTTACTCTGCCAGTTTAGCCCATACTTACTTATATTCTGGTAGTGTGTTAATAAATTTGTTCTGCTCCTTGTCCACTTTTGGGAATCCAAGATATTTTAGCTATATATGATCACCTTTCTACCCTGTGAAGTGGATAGCCTGTATCCATTAGCACATACTTTGCCCATGTCGGTGTGAGAGGCAAGACTCATCTTCCTCTCTGCTCTCATTGCAATTTATTTGTGTTTCTTCTATACCATTTTTTAAGGTTTAACTAGATTACAGCTAGTTTTATTATATGTGTTTCTCTTTCCCCCTTGGTAGTAATTAATGCCTTGTCTTATTACCTTTATGTGCCCCTTGCTCATTGCAGGCATACAATAAACATTGAATTGAATTAAATTCCCTATGGAAGAAATCAATAATACTAATATATGTCTCACTTTTTATGAATCTTGTGTTATGCATGGATTTATTTATTCCTTCATTTCATATATATTTATAAGAGTACCTACCATGTGGCATGTGTTGTTCTAAGTGCTACAGATGCAGAGATAATAAATTGGATAGACCATGTCTTTGCCCTCATGGAGCTTGCGTTCTACAGTGGGAAGATAGCCACAGAATGATATCAATTTAGTGGAGGAGAACAACATGGAATTGAGAAAAATCTTCCTGGCAAAGATAACCCCTGAGTTGGATCTTAAAAAACAAATACAGATTAGACTCCCATCAAGGAACATTACTCTCCAAGAGCAAAATTTAAAACTGGTTCCCAAACTATAGGGTGTTTAAGAATTATTTTGAGAGCTTAATTTGTATTCCAGAGCCCCACCTCCAGAGATTCTCTTTCATTTGGTTTAGGGTGGAGCCCGAGAATCTACATTTTATTAAGCTCCCCAGGAAATTCTGTCTGAGATACACTGGTATAGAATATTGAGCTCGTTATATAGAATTATTGATAGCAGTGTTTCAGTGCCCATAGATTAGATCTTTAAGTGTGGTAGTGATAAATAAGAGTGAGATTAAGACTAGGATTAGTGCTATTGATCTTTTACTTGTGCATCCTTAAAAAGAAAGATATTTAATGAAAAAATTAAAAGTGATATTTAATGATGAGTTCCTGTACATTCACATTCAACATAACTTTTTCAAAGTGTTCCTTAGTGTAATAAATAAATTGTATTATGTTGGCTTTATGATTGCTGAAAATTCCTTTGGATTGAAATATTGGTTCAAATATTTCCAAGCTGTCTTTACAATGATAGCTATAAGGCAAAGAGAGAGTCTGAGGAGATATCTCTCTCTCAGTATTCTAAAGGAAATAAGACTGACCTTTAGGTAAATGTATGGTAGCAGCCATGGGAGGTGGCATTTTTTCATTCTCGTGTATAGTAATTTTTCTTGCCTTTTATCATCATCCTAAGTGGCTTCCTTGTCGTCACGCTCATCAGATGAACCTCATTCCTGGATTCTTCACTAGGAACAGCAGTGAATCTGTTACCTCTGCTCTAACCTCCATTTCCTTGATTGCTTTGCTCTGTCTTAGGGTCTTTTATTTCAAATAGCAAGTTAATACAGCAGCCTCAGGTCCTCCTCTTTCTCTAAAAATAAATGCTGTGGACAGGGTTCATCTAAGTTTCTATTTTCCATTTAAAATGTGGCCTTACCTCCTTCTCTGGTTTAATATTTTGCATGAATATATTTTACATTTAGAAAGTTTTTTTTCCCAACAAAGATCTGTGATTAACCCACTGAAAAATGAGGTTATCTGAATATTTGAAAAAAAAATGGTTATGGAATTAGGCTGTTTTTGTGACTGCTGCTCTATCATTGTGTTTGG